GAGCTTCTTACCATGTGCAAATCCAGCCTGGGCCTTTGGGCTGTTATTTCTTTCCACGTCTTCTTGAAGACAGCACACGTGTCATCCTGGGGAACGATCTTTGTTTCAGAGAGTGACTAACGGCTGCTTAGCAAGAGGCACAGGGTGGATTCAGCCTTGAGATCACTGAGGGGAAGAGGTGCCATGTGCTTTTGCTGGTGCCTTGAAGGCTCAAGACCCGTTTGTTTAAAGGGCTCTCAAGACGACAGCATGAGTAATGCATTCTTGATCTGTAGCTCGGGCTGTGAGGGGAAGATGACGGTCCATGAGTGCATGACGTGCTTTTGGAGACAAAAGCCACCAGATTTTCGGCCTTGTTCCTTCTAATGAAGCCCTGATGACTAATTCCATGATTGCCTCTTATCTACTCAATGAGCTTCTGTTCATAGCACAGTTCTTTCAGGAAATATGTTTTCCCTGAGTTTTGGAAAGTGTATTGTAAAGTTGTGAGCTGCCTCACTCAGGAAACGATCCCCAGCATTTCGTGCCTTGCTCGGGATAATGGACTTTTATAATTACTTTGCTTTTCCTTAATTTCAGTTCTGGGATTACCCATGACCAGCTTCACCAGGAAGCGCTGTCAGATCTGAGCAACCTGGTCTAGTGGAAGGGGTCCCTGTTCTTGGCAGGCAGGCTGGACCTAGCTGATCTTTGGCATCCCTTCTAACCCCAAACATTCTGCAATTCTGTGATTTTGTAAAAGCCACCGATGGTAGGGACGACACGCTGTGCTCAGCGCTGCAGCCCCATCAGCACTAGGGTGGTTTTGCTGCATCTAACTTGCCTCTACTTACTGCAGTGGAAGCTTGTTTCTCTATTCCTGACCCCCACAGAAAATGGTGAGGAGAATATTCCTCCCCTTTTGCAGCAATTTTTTAACCAACTGGAAGACAATTATCCCGACTGTGCTCTGTGCCTTCCCTGGAAATAATACCTTAGTCCACAGGTAGCAAAAAGCTGAAGGCCACTGCTCTGCACTGGCCAGTTTAAGCAAAGCTCTCATTCTCTGTGGATGCAGTTTGTGAAATAATTCCTGTTTTCTGGGCTGCCTTCTGATTCTCAGCATCTTTCTCCCAGCTGTCATTTACCATCCCCTTCCCAGGGACTGAGTGCAGCTGGGGGATGACTTGGCAATCTGTGTAACCACCCCTTTCTACCTTCTGGCTTGCTTTGCTTTTTCTGCACTTCTCACAAAAAAAAAGAGTTCTGTCTTGCCTGATGCCAGTCTCCCCACAGTCCTGGGAACCAAGGCATAATCTTGCATCTCCTAATGAAGCCATGGCATCTCCCCAGTCCCACGCTCATTATGGAGCTCAGGCTACTCATGCTGTCAAGCACAATTTCATGCCTGGACAAACATAAACTATGCCTGGACAGACATCTTGGGACTTAGGTGCTCATCTTTAATCTGCCATTCACTTTTCCTGACTCATTTAACAAGAGGTACAACCTCTGTGCAGCTAGCAGAGAAAGCCTTACACTGACATTTCAAGACTCTCACTTAAGTAGCATCAAGATGGCAAAAATAATACAACAGCCTTTTTTTCAGAGGTTTTTCTGCCTTACATGTTACTTGTTTTCTGGATAACATATTTGAATGACTTGGTATGAATTTACAAATACAAATGCAGAGTGCTACACTGGAAGAGTATTAGAGGCTATTTGCCTGTGTAACAGGCATGAAGGCAGGAAGACAAAGTTTATGTGCTCAGTATCCTCAGGCAGTAGATAGTTATGTGGCTATGGGACTAGGGAAAATTCTTGTAGTTTTGTAAAAGTTATCTTAATCCACTTTTGCCACACATTAATGTACGTCAGTCTTAACCTGTTCCCAATACTCTTTTTTTATTGTAACAGTGGCAGTAAATAGTTTAAATCAATGCTCTGTCAACCTGACTGATCTCTTGCACAGGTTTTATAGGAGAGGTGGACCAGTCCCAGTGCTAATGTCATGTCATCATTAGCAGAATTACATAAAATAGTCCTTAAGGGATGGAAATGGACTGTGATACTGAGCAGAGCACTCTATCTGCCCAGTACCAAGAGAATGAAAATGACTGGCTTTGAGGCAGTAAATCCAACCAGGAGAGTTCCTGGAGAAGCATGCAAAATACAGAAGACAAATGTTCACTAAACATCAGTATTTTGGAGAAGTGTGATATATAATCACCGAAGTCTCCAAGCCTAAAGCTAATACAACATTACTTTTCAGCCATCCCTGAGACAATAACACTCTGGCACCTCTTTTCATCCCAGCTGTGTGTGCTGGGTGGTGTCAGGCCACACAGCTCAGCTCATAAAGTGGATGGAATATTGCAATCTGCTTCTCACTGATCATCTTTAATATTTTAACCCAGTTGAGATCTCATTTCTGAAAGATACCATGACAGGGAGCTAAACATTACAGTGATGCTACACTAAAAGACTTTTTTCAGGAATATTTTCACTGATTGATTTGGAGTCTCAGCTCAGGGACAGCCTCCTGGGCATTCATTGCAATGTGTTGGTACTCCTCCTTTCTTGCTTTGAGCGAGCCTGTTTTCCATACCTTCCTCTCAGGAAAGGACAACTTCACAGAGCAAAATTGATGAAATGATGGTACCCAAAGGCTGGTCTCAGATGGCAAATGCCAGCTCATGCACCCTGGCTGCAGGCACTGCTCCCTTGCTTTTCACCCCAAACCAGAAACAAGCAGTATTGTGAAACAGCAGAGACCTCTGAAACACAAAAAAATATCTTTCACCACCCACACAATACTGTCAGCTGTGCCAAATCCACATCCCCTCCCCCCCAAAAAAAAATGCAGTATTCACCCCTGAGAAGCTAAATCTGGAGAGAGTTTGGTTGTTCCATTTAGTTGGATACTTTTGAGACAGCTTTATTTACCAGAGGATGCATCTGCACGATGTAGCTTGGGTCCTTGGGGGTAAAAGTGAGCTGTGTACCCTGGAGGGGAATGTAGCTGTGTGCTGGGTTAGGAATGGGTATGACGGTGTTTTTCTTTGCTGAGAAACAACGAGAAGAGGAGTTAACAGGGTGATAATAATTGAGCTCCTTGGCACTTTCCTACAAGAGCAACATATTTCACATTTAAAAGCCCTGGGAGGCCTTCCTTCTCTTTTTCTTTTTGGAATGTGAGATATGGCGTAATGAACATTGGATGTTTTACAGAAGACAGCTGGACAGCAGCAGCTCATTTTGGAAAGCACACAGTCCTTTCTCTCTCCTAGTTTAGCTGGCTCCAGGGTCTGCTCTGCAGCCTAGACCGAGCATCCCCCTGCCCAGGGAGACCACTGCTTCTCACCCATCCTGGATCTCCCTCTCCACTTGGACAGCTGTTGGGGCAGGGCAGGGACTGAACCACAGTCTTGTCATGATGAGGTTAAACTGGTTTGCTCAAGAGCAAGCAGCTGGAGAGCAACAGCCCCAAGGAAGCCAGCTCTGTGCCTGTCACCGGCTTACAGGATGCCAGGCTGCAGGATCTGAGTGTCCCAGGAGAGGCTATGACAAAAGGCAGGCCATTGTGCCCAGCTTTCCTCCCTGACTCCAGGGTAGCAAATTGCTTTTATTAGAAAACGGAAGCTGAGCTCCATATCTAATCCCAGGGCCAGGCGGCTGGAGCCTGAGGAAAGGCAGCTGCTTTGTGAAGGGTTTGCCAGTCAAGTAATAAGATTGAAAATCCAGTATACATTTAAATAATGCACTTGGGAAAATGTCTGTGCCACGGATGCCTTGTGTTAGGTGCTTGGATGAGAGGTGCATATGGGACAGAGGGAAATTTCTGATGCACAAAAACAGCCACTGAGTCTTTAGTCGGATCCTGCACTCCACTGAAGCTGCAGTCTTAGAAGTCTCAGATTGAGTATTTAAAAGTAGAAATCTTTTTATCTCTGCCATTTAGTCAATGCTTTTAATAATAAATGTTAATCTCTCAGCACTGATGTCCTTCCCCCCTGTTGGGATGGGGGATGTAGCTCACAGATCCATGAGGGGTGTAATCCAGTGCTCCCTGATTGCACCATGACTCCAGGACAGGGAAGGGGAGCTCCAAAGTGTTCCTGAGCTCTGCACATCCAATGGGAGGTGCAGATGATGTTTTACATCTCCTTCTCCATAGCAAATACAAAGAGTCACCGAGCTGAGGATTTGGAGGAATTGTCATGAGCTGTATTGAAGAAAAATGCAGGGCAGAAAATTCCTTCCAGTATTTCCCCCCTCAAGCTGATATTTCCCAGCCATCTTTAGAAGAATACCTCATCTTGGCAGTGGAGGTAGAAGGTTTATCTTAAAAAAATCCTCATGGGATGATTGTGAATAAAAGGTGCACTCTTTATTTCTCATCCATCAGAACAGCTCCCTTGCTGTGTCACCAGCACCTGCTGCTCACCTAGGCTGAAACTTATACCAGTGCAACCCAAAGCAAAGGAAATGAAAGGGTCACTGCTGATGCTGTAAGCTCTGCTGCAGAAAAATTAGTGTTCAAGGCTATGCCATGTCCACATTTATCATATTAATTGATAGATCATAAACACGCCTCTGCCAAGTCTCAGAGTAATTCCTGCGGAAGGCAACCTAAGGATAAATTGAATTAAATAAAATCAGATTTGTACATCTCCAGGCTGCTGGATATTTTTTTTTAGTCTACCCTGCAGATGCTGGACATGATGCTTTGGATCCCTTTTGGTGTTAAACCAGTGGTGTTCCATGCCCCTCGATGGAGTGATGCTGCCTTACACCAGATGAGGATCAGATCTGTAGCACTGTGTCTGTCCACCTCACATTTGGTTTCATACTGCAGTCAGCTTATACCAGATTTGTTAAAATATGTTTAAACATGCAAAAAAATGGACTAGAGGCACGGTGACCCTTTTCCTCAGGTCAAGTAGGAGTTGGAACTTCACGTGGCACATCTGACCCAGACATGCCTGTCCACACAGAGAGGCTATGATGGCCTGAAGGCAGCCCTTGAGTGAGGAAAATCTGCTGAAATGCCTGAAAGGCCTTCTGTGCCATCCTGGAGGGCAGAGGGGTCCATGTGCTACATGTCCCAGCTGTAGGGTTTGATTACCCAAAGTTTTCCTCCTCAGGCAGGTAGTGGTTTGTGGCATCGGGTCACAGCGTCACTGCCTTGCCTCATGCCAGCTCAGCCAGTTGGTTCACAGTGGAGGAAATAAGACTTGGGTGCTACCACATCCCTGCCCAGGCTCTGCCCCTCGATTGCTCACAGGCACTAATTACAAAGGAGGCTCTTGCTCTGCTGCTGTATAATTATGCAAAGCACAGTCCAAGCCTTAATATAGCTCTGACTGAACTGCTTTTGGTTTTCTCTGAAAAGAAATTTAATTTTGGACCAAATAACAGAGCAGCCTCCCAGCAATAGAATCTGTATGGAACACAGATGGGTGGACACAGTTCCTGGGCTGAAGCTGCTTCCCAGGAGCTCTTGCAGAAGTTCAGTGTCTCGGTGCCTCTGTTCCCTTTGGGTTCTGAACTCAGGGTAGCAAGTTCAGAAACCTACTCCTTTCTCCATGGCAGTCACAAATTTGGGTTTACAGAGGAGCAAGATGGGATAGCAGATTTTGGATCACATGTAGAGTCAGCGTAGGAGGTGGGAGGATGCTGACTGCTGTTCTGGTTCTGTTTTAGAAGCAGCTTATAACCACCGGAACATCAATTTCAGCGAAAAGCGTGTTGCCCTCTCCTCCACTGGAGCTTTCCAGCACGTGGCGGACTTGCCGAAAAATTGCCGCTCTCCTGGTGCGCCCCAGCCCCCGGCGCGCGAGGATGGCCAGGATGTGGTCCTTCCTGAAAAACCAAACATGATCTCGCTCAGACCTGGCAGGCAAAACCAGCCCAAAAGATAGCAACCAACAACCCTGCAGGAGATGGAGCAAGGACATAGCAAAGTGCCAGGGACCGTCCCCTCACCACGCTGGACAGGAGCCACCAGGAGTTGGGTCTCCAGCCTCTGGAGGTACCAAGCCAGTGAACATCAGCTCCTGCTGGCTGGCGCTTCAGGGAATTTCCTCCTCTGTCTCCACACACACGTGGTGCCCGTTTCAAGTTTTCCTGAGAGCCTGCAGACCTTTTGTTTAATGATTGTTTTGAATTGAATAATGGAAGTGCTAATATTTAGGAAGTTGACAGGCACTAATTAGATTAGAGCTGGGAAGTCAACTTGGAAACATATCCTGTTCCAGTAATCTTGGTATATACAAATTCCTTAACGTCTCTGAGAGCTCAGGGGAAGAATTAAGAGACCTGAACAGGAAGTAATGCAGGTCCAGCAGGTTCCAAGTTTCCGAACTTGATTGTTAAAAATAGTGTTACTCAATAATGGAAAGTCAAAAATTAGATAAATCAAGAGGACGAGCTTTAAAACCTGGCTTGGGTCTGAGCCTAATGATGCAAAAGTACCACAAATTACAGCCTTGTAAATGGCTTTTCTGAGTAGAAAATTGTTTTCAAATAGCCATCGTTGATGACTAGGCATAATTTACCTCCCCTATCTTTCCCAGAACAGGCACAGCCTCCTTCATCAGCTTAGTCTGGCCACTGGGATTAAACCTTTTTTTTTTTTTAAGATAGGTGTGTTCACCTTGGAAATTATTCAGCAACAATATTTTTTTTTTCATGTACACATCTTGAATTTCCCCACACAGATAAACCTGAAGCATATCTGACTGAATCGAGTTAAATCTTGTTATGAAAAAATTTGACCTGCAGATATGGGGAAAGGAAAATAGATTTACTGCGATTTTTTTTTTTCCTCAGTATTTAAGGGTCCACTTCAGTGTTCTGAGCAATTAGTTAAATGTATGGTTTATTTTGATTATATAAATGTCATTCATCAGAAACTGTGTAACCCAATACAAAGACCTTTTGGGTTTTTTTTCTGAAATTACTCCGATGAAATGGAGTTTTCTGCAATCTGTACCACTGATATTCATTTTCAATTGTTGGTAGAAGAGCTGCAGAAGAGGAGGTAACTTCTGATTAGCAGCTGTTTAGCCATGTGCAGAGCTAGTCACTTCGTTTACTTTTCCAGTAGTTTTAAATTTTTCAGATGCAGCTTTGGAACAGCAAATGGAAAGTATTAAAAGGAAGAAAATGTAATGGTTGTGTTGAGGTAATTTCAGAAGCCACAGCTGATCTCCATCAATGGCTGCCTCACTTTGAGGTCTGAGCCTTGGAAGAGGAAACAAAATATTTGCTTCAAATCTGGAGTCTGAAAATTGGCAAACTGGGCTGATACTGGTGATGCACTGAAATCAGACTGGAGCTTTACTGTGAAACAAGGTTCATTTGGAGCAAAAAAATAGAATTCAGTGATAGGATGCATGGAAATGGTTCAAAGCTGTGTTAGGGGAGTTCTAGACTTGACTTTAGGAAGCATATCTTTGCTAGGAGGGGTGTCCAACAGTGAAACAAGCTTTCTAGAGAGGTATACTATGTCCTAAGCCTGTCAGTGTTTAAGAGGCATTTGGGCAATGCCCTTAATAGCTTGTATTAACTTTTGGTCAGCCATGAAGTGGTCAGGCAACTGGAGTGGATGATCATAGTAAGTTCCTTCCTAATAGACTGAAATAGTCTGGTCTGGTCTATTCCATTTCATTTCATTCCATTCTAAATTTAAAAGGCTTTGAAGTTAATTTGTGTGCATTATAAGATCCAGCAGACAAGGGAAAAAAAGAGGAAGTATACAGTCATAAAGAGAAAAAATTAAGATGGGATTCCCACTGTTGCTGGCACCCTGACCTCTAACATATGGCTACCAGCAATGAAAAGATGAAGAGCTCGGCCAAGGCACAGGGCAAGCTGGTGCTGTTTGGGATGGAGCCCAACATTTCTGGCATCTGCCATTTCACGTACCTGATATCTGGATAATTCTGACACAGCTTCTTGACATACACCTCGATCTTGTCCTTCTTCTTCTCCCTAATGATCTCGGCAATGTGGTATATGGCGGGAGTGGGCCAGTCAGAGTCAGAGCCCTGTGGATGAAGAGGCACACGGGGATTTCAGGGGGGAAAGCAGTACCTGCTAAATGCCTTTTTCCCTACAGTGCAGAGCTGGGTGTGAGGCAGGACTGCTGAGGCAGGGCAGGCTGCCTTGGGCAGGCAGCAAGCTGCCAACAAGGAGTTCCCCTGAGGCCAGACTCTGCCCTTCCTGGTGCTCATGAGCATCCCAGGGAGTCAGATCCTGTTCAGGGCATTGTGGCTGTGGTCCAGCACACCAGCAGATGCCAGACTTTACCTCCTGCTGCCTAATAGTTTCATGTGCCTTATCTCTGAGAGGGGATTTGGTGCCCTGGATGCCTGAATTTCTGCAAAATCCAATTAATTCAACTTTGGCTTCCCTGAAAATCACAGACTGATGTTTCTGCGAGAGACTGAAATGTTAAAGTTAATTACTCAAATAATCAGCCATTTTCAAAACTGGCAGGGGCTTTGTTGAGGCCAGGTTTGCACCCAGCTTTTGGGTGTGTGGTGGCAAAACTTCTGATCTGTGTAAGAACAGCCCAGGTGCAGAGCATGTGATCACCCACCACTGGAGAGTAACCGTGACAAGCCAACCTCTGTTTAGCAACAAGGTGGGTTTTGAGCCAGATAAGGAAAAAGCCAACAAGAAGCAGATCCTGCGAGGCGGAATAACTTCTTTTATCATGCCAATTTCCTTCTTTACACAGCTGGTTCATGCGTAAAACTCCCCTTTCATGGGGAGGTATTGGGACATCCACAGGTATCCCTTCTGATAAGGTGTAACTGGAACAACTATAAAGGTGTAAGAAAGAGCAGTCATGTTTTAGAAGGGGTCATGAACCAGCAAAGATCCTGAAGCATCTCCAGACTCATTTCTGGGGCCTTCCAACAGAAGACTGCATATTATCCACAGTGTTATATCAGACAGTGTGAAACTCCTGCCCGCTGCCATCCCCCACTGGGAGGTTACCTGGGCATTCCCACCTGAACCCATTAAACTCATTGCAGGCTTCCTCCACCCCCGACGGATCAAGACTGGGACCATCACTTCGACCAACAGACATCTAAATTGTGACAATCAAGGCTTGTCGCTGGATCCATGGGTGGTGATATCTTTCCTCCCCACTATCTACTCTTACACTTTCTTTCCCTTTCTTCCTCTCCTTTGCATATTTTCTGAAGTGATATTTTTATACCTTTATATTGTTATATTACTATAGATAATAACCTAAATGGCTACATCCCTACTTTCCATTGCAATCAAACTGTTCTAAAATAAACCTGCCATATATATATATATATATATATATATATATATATATATATTTATAAACACTAGTCATTCAGTGTTGTTTCCCTCTAAACTACCCCCAGAGATCTATTAACAAGAATCTCAGTTACCTCACCTTCAGGGATGGGTTGTAACGCTGGCCTAGCCACAAAACACGCCACTGCAGAGAGGTTGCTGGGCTGGAAGCCCACACCGTGAACATGCAGTAACAACCTCACTTGCTTTCTAAGGACTTCAATACTTCATGAGGCTTGGCCTCCTCAGAAGCCTGTTGCATTGGTCTCTGGGAAGCCAAGTGGGAATACTGTACCTCTGGGAATGGGCCAGGAGAGAACTCACATACCTGATCAATGAGCATATTATGAAAGATTTTGGCTTCCAGGTCCATTTTTTCGCTCACTCTTTGCCGTGTCTCCCTGTTCATTCTCCATCTGTGTTTGATGACCTGTGCAATATATTCCTTCACCACGTATCTGTGAACTTCACGTAGAAGCTCCTGGATAAAAAAAAAAAAACACCTTCATGGTTTTTCTGTGGTTCCCATACAAGGCCAAGGCAGTGAAAGAGGGCAGGGAAAGCTCTTAGGTCTTTAGCAACACAGAGGGCATAGAGGAGGTACATGAAGGCAACACACCATCAGCACATGCTGCCCAGGCCAGCCCTGATGAAAGGAGTCAGTGGCTTACAGTCCCTTGCTCTGGCACAGAGCAGTGGCTGCACCCAAGGGAATGCCATGAAAATACTCCTCACTCTGAAATAGCCCACAATTTTGGTCGGTTGTTTGACTTCTCAGTATCAAAGAGGAATATTTAGGATTGGTTTAAAAGTCACTTTTGGTGGTGCTTGCAGATTTTAAATATAGAACAGTTGTCACCTATCCCTTTATTTCACAACTGCATAGATGTGAAAGGAGCGTATAAGCCTGCAACTCACAGAACTGCAATGTGCAGCAGCAATTGTTACCAAAGCTTTTTGTTCCTCTTTAAACAAAATCAGTTTCTGTATTTGAACTACAGGAAAGAAAGTTGTTCTTTAATTCATATGTGGAAATACGGTAACATCTGAACTCCTTTGCATCGGCAGTTCCCACAGTTATAAACGGCAACCACAGCTGCAGGTCTGACCACAGCCTGAAAATGACATTGTGAACCCCCCCAGCATCACTGTGTGAGTCAGTGGCCTACCTTCCCAGTGGGCTCCCTCATGTGCTGCAGGTGCTCGGAGAACTGTGAGACTGCTAATGCCAGTGAGACTGGCCTTTCTGTATCCAAAATCCAGTCCTTGGTCAGGATTTTCTTCAGGAATGGCTGAAAAAAGACCAACTCACTGATGGCACTGGTAACATTCAGATTAGCTGATGCCATAGCCGAAGGCACTCAGCTATACACCTGATGGCTTGAAACGAAAATCACAGAGCACTGATGGCACACCCCCTCTGCATGAAGACACACCCAGAGCACAGAGCAGGTGAGTTTCTCTCTCCTCCCCATGGAATCCAGACCCACATCTTCCCTTCCTGCATAGGCACGCCAGTGCAGAGAGAAGAAGCATCACTGCCTGAGCAGGAGATTTTTTGGCATTAAAGGCTTACTTGAGATACCTCATTTCCTTTCTCTGCACCACCTCTATTTCTTTGGGTAAATGAATTTGTATCCCTACACATAGGTGAAGAAACAGGTGTGAATTTTAATCATAGGAAATTCAGGTAGGACCATAACAGGCTGTGGTGTGCAACCACGTGTGTTAGTGTTACTTGGGTTTGCAACAGCTATGGACATGACAGGTCACTTGGTTGTGAATCTGTTGGAAATTAGCCCAGTAATCCATCACCCCTACAGCCTTGTCTGCAAGGAAATCAAGCTCCTCATGCCCACAGCCCTTCCAGGAGGCTGTCTGTACTCCTGCAGACCTGCATGAAATCTCACTGGGATCGTCCTTCTGCTCTTTGGTCTAATGTGGTGGGAGGGGAACAGCAGCTGGGAACATCTCCAGCTTGATGCCTCATGGTCAGTGATGACATGGGAATTATGGCACTGTCTCACATCAGTTCTGGGTTCAAGGTACTCTGATCAAGTGTCCTCAGTGGGTTATTGTCCCTGCTGGTTCCCTAGAGTTAGTGTGCCTTCACATAGAAATACAGCAATATCTGCTAAAGACTTCTGGAAGAAACTCCCTTAAGGGCCAAATGCAAAATATCCCTTCTCTGGCACATCCCCTTTGTACTTTTCTCCTCTTAGCTCTCAGAATCTCTGGCTTTAGACTCCTGGCAATCTCCTTCCCAATTATTTTCCCCTCCTTGTGCTCTCCTGCTATTCTCCCAGTGTGATGAATCATAGAATCATAGAATCAACCGGGTTGGAAAAGACCTCTGAGACCACCAAGTCCAACCCTTGATCCAACACTGCCGTGGTTACTAGACCATAGCACTAAGTACCACAAGAGCTGTTTAGAAATGCTTTGCCTCAGCCTCTCTCAGTTCCCACATTTTGGGTCTCTTGCTCAATGCCTTGGCTTGACTCTTTTCCTTCCACTTAGGCTCCAAGACAAGATCTCCAGTCACTGGAAAGCCCCCTTGGCCAGGCAGGTTTGGCTTAAGTTGCATCAGTTCCATGACTACCTTGGTTTATGAAAGTTATGTTTGGGGACTTAAAAAGTGAATTAGGTTGAGTGAAAAGGGATGTGACCAAAGGCTCGATTTCCCCCATCTCTTGTATTATACCAGCCAGAGCTAGTGGATCCCAGAAAGTCCCATCTACAACACCTGGGAAGCACAAACTTCATTGCAGCACATTGCATTGCATTTTAGGCCTCAACACAAGTTAAGCTGGTATCAGAGCTTTATCAGATGATACCAGAGCTTTAGTATCCTCATGCTGGAAAAATCAACCTTTCTTCACCATGGGAACAGCCTGGAAAGATCACCTCTACCAGAATTAATTCTGTCCTGTCTGAAGAAGTTGCTTACAGACCATGGTATAAGATCAACAAATCAGTAAGAATAAATCAATGTCCTGAGAGATTCAAACGTTTTGGTAGAAGAAAAAATGTCTCATTGGTGGCATTCAGCTGACTTCCCCAGTGTTTCTCTATGGGTAAGGTTTTTCCCCACTGCTTTGCCTGAGATACTGGAAGCCAGTAAATACCTTTTTTTTTTTTTTTTTTTTTTTTTTTTTTTTTTTTTTTTTTTTTTTTT